TATGTAAATTTTTGAGTAACAGCTCGAAACCAACAGAAGGTTTATAACGCCCGTTTCTTAAACGCGAGGGTGGATTCGAAACCTACCAACGGCAAGTACCAATGTGACTTTTTCCGAGTTATATGTAATTTCTATGATTATTTAGACACCACTGACAAAAAGCGAAGGAATACATCGTAATCGTAAACCCGCATTGAGCAAGCGTGGTGATTAATGCTCAAACCTTCTCCGTGTGAGAAGAGGCTTTGGTCAGCAGTGGGCATTTATAGGCTGTTGATATATTATGATGTCAGTAACAACACGGAGTGTATAATTGTGGTCTGTCTATGACAACAAGACCATATTACATAGATACCCCTTTACATAACCCCTACAAAATGGATGTTACATTGTAATATGCACCTCTGCCTACCCCCTTTTAGAAACGAAGCTAGATAACATAACAATTAACTGTCGATTACAGCTGTACAACCTACTTGACGATATCTTTGCATTATTTTATCATTTCGATAACACATTGATATCAAAATAATGGATGAGGAACATAGCATACTACTGAAATATTTCGTCAAAGGAGATCGTTTAAAGTAAGTTGTTTTTTTTATATTTTAATTACAATAAGGTAGTTTCTTAAATTTTAATTTAAAGTCCGTCTGGTATATTAATTTAAAACTTTAGACACGTATGTTTTTCGACGATATATTAATTTAAAATATCGTGTGACGTCACAGCGTGTCGCATTTTGTAGCACGTTATGACGTAACGACCTCCCACTCCTAAACTTAGCGCCATTTTATCTAAGTATTGCAACTTAATACGAGAAAATAAAAAATACGTGTGTAATATTTTTTCATTATCTTAGATTAGATTTTTAATTTTGGTACCCTGGAAACTACCCAATTGGGATGATGACAGAGTATGAAAATTAAAAATCTAATTAGTCCGTAAGTTAGGTAATGAAAAAATATTAGACACGTCTATTTTTATTTTGTCGTATAATAAAACAATACTTAGATAAAACGAATCAAAGTTTAGGAGTCATTTCTACGAATTGTACGTAGAAGTGACGTCATGCGACATTTCAAATCAATATATCGTCGAAAGTATTCGTTTCTGTGAGAAAATAAAAAATACGTGTCTAATGATTTAAAATAATCTAAGTACCAACTTTTAAACTGTGATCGACAGCCTGCTCAAGAATGGAGTATGACAAATCTTTTTTTATGTAGATGAGGCTCATAATCCAACATTGGAATGTCATGGACTGTTGATAATGAAGTTATTTCGGACTTTAAAAGAGACTGAAACCTCTGAATTTGTTTTGATATTTCTTCTCAGAATAGACAGATAGGAAATGGCGGTCTCATCTAGCTTATTTTAAAAAATATTAACGTACAACTTGGCAAAAAAGTGTGAACTTTGACGCGATGAC